TAATAATAGACTAGCTTCGTGTTAAGCGGTTGTTGTAGTAGGGCGATCTACCACCCAGGAGCTCGTTGCGCGCAGTTTAACAAGACCTACCTAGTAGAGGTTGTCAGACGTTCTTACTGCCTTATTGACTAGCTGCTCGTACGATAGATTCTCATCAATCGTAGCAAGAGCCTCCTGCAGCTTAGTGTGAAGGCCCTTTAAGAACATACTCTTCTTAGCTGCTTCGCCAAACTGCTCGCCTAACTGAATCTTAAGACGGTTAAAATCCATGTAATAGTCTCTTACTAAGAGCTTGCCTTGTTTAAGAGTTAAAAGGCGATCAAGTGCTTTAGACTTCTAGTGTAGGTCGTCAAACTGCTAGTCCATAAAGCTCCAGAGGTCTTCAATGTGGCGTTTACTCTAGTTCTGTATTGCCTAGGGTAGAAGTACATCCGCTGCCTTGCCCGTACACCTACTAACCACGTACTCGATCTGAGCGAGGCTCGAAGTTCCTTTGTACTCGTGCTAGAGCTTAGCTTAAGTCTTATATTTAAACGCTACGTACTTTGTTTGATCTCCATCAAATGGTTCTAGGTGCGGGAACTTGTTCCTGCGCGCAGCTGGCTTGGCGATTGCGGCTGCTGCTAGGGGAGGCGTGAAGGCTCTATGGGACGACTCTGAACGCCCCTCAGCTTAGTTACGCTCGAGTGCCACGAGCCGTTCCGTTAGCACCTGGTTCTGGGCTGTTAACCGATTCATCAGCTCCATCATCTAGGCCATGGCATCCTGGTTGGCCTTCGGCGAGCCTCCTTGCCTTGGTGAGCCCTTTCCTCCCACGACGACCGATCGTTTGGCGACTGCTTCAATTGTTGGCCTAATTGCTGCCTCCTTCTATCTGTCCTCTCTAAGCATTTGTGTAATTTCGCGCAGGATCTCTTCATCTGATACTCCTGCCTGGTTCTTGGCAGCAGCGTACGCCGCCAGCTCTTCCACATTCAAGTTTGGAACGTTAATCTCCATTGCCTAATTCGTTTTAGACGTCTCGTTCTTTGCCTGCTAATATACAGGGCTTCTAATCGCTCTTTGATCCGCTCGCGCAGTCCTAGACTGCGGCCTACTCCTCGTTGGTGAGGACTAGTAGGGCTTACCTTTGGCTGTCCTTGTTACTAGCTAGAATCTGAACAGCGTTCTGTCGCTGTTGTGTTGCGTCCCTAGGAAGACTCACGTCTTGCCGTCTTGCTCGTGGGATCTCGTCTCCTATTAAGAGTAATTGCACGGCCTGCACCTCGTCTGATAGAGGATCGACAGGACTTCTCACTACAACGTCTGCTTCTAGCTAACTGTACACTAGGCCTGAGTGGCCTTTAGGTAGTTTATTACGCGACGTTGTGCCTACAGCTTGGCTTTCTAAGACACAATAGGACTTCCTAGACAGGTCCTAGGCGACTAATTCGCCTACTGTCTCTCACAGCTAAACTTCCTGCGAAGCTCTGCCCTAGGTGTACTGTCTTGCGACGGTCTACCTTCTCGCTGCACTAAAGGCCTTTCGTACCTATTACAGCACTAACTCTATGTTACTAGCTCGCACTAACAACACGCTTTAAAACTTAGTTAGAAGATAGTTTGCCTAAGGCTTGTGTCTAATTAGGATCGAATACAAAATGTAAGGGGCTGCGCTCTAGGGAGCAATTGCAAGGTATACAAGAGGTTATATTTAATAAGGAGCTATCTACTCTGCTTACGTGGTGTTTATTTACTTATCAAAGAAAGGTTATGCCGGAGTATCTAAGCGCGTTGTCTGAGCGCTGCTCGGTCTGAACGTAGTTCAGATGGTGCGCGCGCAGCTTGGCCCGAGATTCCATCGAGGAGCTATCCAAAGGGCGTTCAGCCCGTTACAACCTTATTGGTAAGAACTAAGTTAATAACTTTATTAAGTAGACTTCTAAGCTCTATACGCGCTAGAGCTATTCTTATAATTCCTAGTAAGCCGCCTATAAGGATCTAGTGGCTATCTAGCGCTAGTTTAACTTAGTCTAGGCGATAAGGTAGAAGTAGGGTATTACAGATAATAATATCTATAACTTTAATAAGACTAGCTTTATTATAGGCAAGATTTTATTATAGTTAGTTATTATAGCATTAGAAAGATATAGAAAAAAGAAGTAGATACAGCTCAGTAACTATAAGTAGGTTACTATAATCTAAGGCGTAGGCGCGTTAGGTTGCTAAATACTACCCTTTATTATCTTTGTAAGCAAGGTGCTTATTAACGTCTAGTTTAAGAATTTGCCTACTAACTAGGTTCTTAAAGTTAGTCTTAATAGCTAGACAAATAATTAGCTTAGTCTTGCCTGGTTAGAGCACTTTGATACCCATACAAAGTGCTCTACTATAGGTAGGTATTAACTACTTATTATTGATAGCTATAAGAGCTACTACTTTATTAATTTCTAAGATCTTTGTAAAGAGAAGAATATTATGCTTCTCTACATACCTACGCACTTGTCTTACCTATTATAGCCTCTTAACGTCGCCTG